CAAGGGTAGTTTTACTGACTCTGTATACCGGTGCAAGCTCTGACATTCCCAGGGAATGACAAGATGGCCAAAAAGATAGAGGGTTTTTATCAGAGAGAATTCTTCTCCCGACCCGGTGGGTTCAGTGACGTTTATCCCTCTCCAATGAACAATTCGTTTCACGCGCTCTTTGTGCGCGACGCACACTGTGCGTCCCAACATCCAATGCGTATGCGTTCACGAGCTTCGTCTTGCCGCCCGATCAATGCAACCTTTCAACATCGGAATGCGCAGCATCGTCAACATCCTGGTTATCACTGTCGTTGTGGCTAGCAATGCCTGTAACGACGAGGACAAAGCGAAGATGGCGAACAGCTTATTTCCCAACTATCTATTCAACTGTGGTTCCGACGCCGGGCTTACACCCTCAAAAATCGCCCCCTGCCTTGAGCAAGGATGTGGCCTGTCTCACGAATGCTCCGGTTGCTTCGTTACTGCTGGAGAGTGTACTATTAAATCATGCCTTGGATCCTGCATCTTCAGCCCACTGAGTGGAAAGTGCTTCAAGTGTGTGAAGGATCACTGCGATGTTGCACTTCTGACTTGCACAGGCTTGACCGATCCCTTACCTAATCCGACGAAGAAGGGTGATAAGTGCTATTAAACGACGAAGTACATGGCATGCGAATCTTCTATTAAGACTCCCTCGCATCGTCATGCTGGGCTGAGGCATCAAACTCCTCTGGTGTGTATTTGTCGTTCGATCCGGAATGTTTGTGGCCGAGTCATCTCATTATTCTTATCATTGATAGCTTGACGGTGAACCCGTTCCTGACTTTAAGGTCTTGGATAGCTCATTCGCAGGTGGTGTCTCTTAAGAATATCTCTTTCATACTCACTCTCCTCGAGATGAGCTGTTGCCGGTGAATGAGATTTTTGAACGATCGCTCTGTGTTCATGAATTCTCAAGTTGTTATGTACACAATGCTGGGTTTTATTTTTCGGCCTTTCTGGTCGTTTTTGATCACTATGATATCAGTTTCGAGCGGGTCTGGACTCCATTTGTGTTGCTGTAGAGGTTAACTCT